GCAGAGTAGAAAAAAGCTGCTTTTCACATTTTTGCTATTCTTGCTTGCTGTTTGTTATGAGTCCTCTGCTGGGTAGTCTTTTTAGTACCTTGTAATAAAGCACTTTTTTGGTAGGAATTGTAACAGAAATGGTTTAACTGTTTAAGCTGTGTAAGTTCTTTATTGGCACAACTGTATTCACAAATTATCAGAATAAGAGTTAACTTTATTACACCTGAATAATACCTTTGTTTTTTTACAAGGTGGCCAGGAATGAGTCAGTACCTCTAGTTGCTTGGAAGAAAAAGATCTGACAGTTCTATGTGGAGCCCTAATTTGGCATTCTGACTTGCCATCAGATTGCTTAAATAGTGTGCCCAAAGTCTTATTTCACTATGGCAGTTGACTTTGGGAATAAGAGGGAGGCTTAACTTTTTTTATTCTTATGCTCTGTATTGAAGCTACTAACTGTAACTTGTGCACGAGACTTATAATGGCATCAATAACTGTTATTAGGAACTACAGCATCAGGAGAGTTTTGTACATCATGGTTACACAAAGGTATGTTATTTCTTTGGGTAGGAACTGTATTAACTTAGCATTGAACTGAAATATTTCAGGTCAACTTTTTCTCTGGCAACTGTGTACTTTTACTGTGTAAGTTAGGTCTCAGTGTTAGGTCTCTAGGTATCTGTAAGGCAAAACATTTTAGGGTGCTTTAGTGATGAAATACGAGGAATAAGTGCTTACCCGAAATGTAAAACCTCAGAGTGGCTACTGAGTTAATATTGTCTTTACTTCTTCACTGTGAAGCTCATTTTATTGGCAAGATACTTATTTTCTGAGTAGCTATTGTACTAATTCATGTTTGACGTTTTAATTCTTCTTGTATGGAAAGTCAGCCAATTCCTACACTTCTATTGTAAGGGTTTAGACAAAGATGCATATAAAGTGTGGGATTTGAAGCAATACTGTTTTACAAATTATGAATGTAACAATAGGAGAAGACTGTTGTGACCCTGTTTCAAATTGTTTACTGTTATCAGTATTTCACAGTGAAATAGTGGGAGAGGAGAAATATGCTAATGTAAAAGTACTGTTCTGTTACCAAATGTCTTGCTTCAAGCTGGGCATATGTATGTGTGGGGTAATGCCAAGATTGTGAAGTCTCTTTTTCCAGTAAGTCTGAAGTATTTTAGTTTTAAAACACGTTTGCCTTAACAGATATGAGATTAACAGATATAGGAAATGTATTGAGAAGCTTTCTTTTTCATAGGAAGTCCCAAAAGCAAGAAATACACCCTTCTGCTGTCTGCACTTGTTGTGTGTTTTGTCATACCTAGTCCTGTGGTAAGGGATATGTTGTACCACTTTTTTTCCAGTCACTTCAGACCCCTCTGTACTCTAACTTCTGTGGATCCTCTTTTTGCTCTATGTAGTTTTTTTGTCCTGAAGGTAACAGGTGTACTTTTCAGGGCTTTCCTGGGTACAGTTTGTAATATTTTTTCAGTGTTAGCTTTCATGCAGGGAAGTAGAAAAACTGTAAGACTTTGCAGTTGCTCAGTAAGCTATGAAGACCTTAAAAGTATGAAGGCATAAGTTTGCCTGTTGTCCTGACTTGTAGCTCTGGATGCCATTGTTGGCTCCCTTCGCCTGTCCAGAATTTTACAAGGTTGTCGCACCTTTGAAATGTCCTATGTGTCCACTGTCTGTCTGACATGTTACAGGAGTATATAGAATATATACTATAGTATATAGTAACTAAATGTATATATATAGTATATAGTAACTAAATGTATATATATAGTATATATACTATAGTATATAGTGACTAAATATGACATAACTTTTCACTGTAAAGAGGAGATCCTGAAATGCAGTCTCATCAATCTAATGTGTAACTTTTAGCACTTCCATGCTATTAGTGAACAGTATAAATCTTTGGAATTGGTTGAACAAAAACCTTGTCTTGTGATTTTCTGTATCTAATCCTGGGATTCCAGTTTGGAAGATAAAAATGTTTAACAAGCTTCAGTAATATAGAAGTTAAAGTAAAAATTTCTGTAAAGGCAAAACAGTAGTTGCCTAAATCTGAATCATGACCGTGCACTTAATAGAATCCTTTCCTTTAAAACAGCAACAGGATACAGAACTATACTTCTGCTGTTTTAAAAGACCATCTGACAGGTAACCTTGTTCTGTGTTCAGTTGTGTTTCATTGCATGAATTGAGTTTTTAGAATAGTTCACAGCACAAGCAATTGTTCCATTTCAGAAACTGGGGTTTTTCATAAACTTAGGGCAAACCATAGTCGTATGATAATTTCAGAAGGTGGTTTAAACTGAATTCCTTTCTGGAATATAATCTAATATACATTATGGAGAGCACTAGTTATTTCAATAATCATGACTTCTGCAATGGTGGTGCAAAAGTAATATCTGAATTAGCTTGCTTTATCACAAGCAGACTACTTGTGTACAAATTGAAGGAGCATTGTTACTCAATGTATATGATGATGTATTACTTGTTCAATATTTGTCCTGTATGAAAAGCTACTATTGTAATACTGTCTTATTTGCTGATTGACTGCTTTTCTAATGTTCTTCCTTCTTTGATTGCCATTCTCCAAAATAAATTGTTTAATTCAGCATGTGATCTTGCTCACTATTGCAAAGTGAGCAAAGATTGGTCTTTTGTTATAGTAATACTCATGATCATTTTGGCTATTGTGGTCTTTTTTGCCTAAACTTTGAATTTACTAAAAGATAAAAAGTGAAACCTTGGGTGGACTCTTAGTGCTTCTGTGCAAGAATCCAGAGCTTACACCACATGCATTATTATTTGAATTTTCTGAAACACATAAATCATGTAATTGCTTTCTGAAAGTCCATTTTCATCCTCCCCACTCCATAAGCCTGCTCTCTGATTCTGATTTTTTTGCTGCTTATTTTTGAAGAATGAGATGAATAAGTTTGATTCTTCTCTGCTAGGGAGGACTATTTGAGGAAGAACAGTAGGTGGTCGACATGAGTGCTGCTGGGTTATGTGGAGTTTATCAGCCTTGTTTTTTTCCTGCACAGATTAAGATCCTTCTCTGTGTCCTGCTGTTGTTCTCTGCTAATAAATGTATCAGCTCCTTTCTCACTGGCTTACAAAGATGTGTATGGCTGGTTTGTGTTTTGAGATTAAGTGTACTGCTTCTTCTTGAATGTCAGGGAAAATAATACATTCAGCCAAAGGTGTTCCTTAAGCTGGGAAAATGTATTTGTACCAAGTATGGGAGGGAAAGTTAATTTTAAGCAGAAATCTATTTGGAAACACCATTTTTATGTTATGTATGTCAGATTCATTGCTGCAGTTAGATCTTTTCAATAGACTGTTACCTGTAGCATATAGGAAAAGGTTCCTGCTTCAGCTGCAGTGAGGCTAGTTAAAAATAATACATATGACAAGCAGCAATTTTAAAACAACTTGTGTATGGCTGAGGAATTAGAATTTGCAGAACTATGTTCTTGTGAATATAACTGACAATTTTAAAGGAAGGTTTACAATTTTAAGAAAAGCTGAATGAATCAATGGACTTTTTTCGAGGGGAATCATTCAGCAATGGAGTAATTTTGCCTTTACCAAATGTTGTATGTTGAACTTTTGAGGCTGCTTGTAAATTGCTCTTTTTCTGTATTTAAACTTTTTTTATAGAAATATTTCTGTGATTGTAGTTGGTTAAAACTTAAGTCAGTCAACTATGTTTGTATGTATGTGCAATACACTTATGCTTGAAAATCTGACAGAACATTCTCCTTCAAGTTCTAGAAATGAAATTTATTATCAGAGTAATAGCAGTTAGTCATGCACTCATGAGAATTATACCCATGACCAAATTTTAAGTGTGATGCTGGTGGATGAGCAAAAAGTTGTAAGTATATTTGCTATAGTGTATCCTAAGACATTTTTCAAATATTGCTGTCTTTAAGGTGAACGTGTCTTAATAATAAAAACTTGCTAGGACATTCACTTGGAAAGTAGTCATAGTACTCAAGGTAACACTACTTGTGTATTTAATTATTTTTTTAGTCCTGTCCTTTGAATTAAGGGCCAATTCTAAACCAAAATTTGAAACCAAATCAGATCTGTGTCTTTGCAGACAGGTTGCCTCAGTTTTTTTTTGTTTTTTTTTTGCTCCAAAACTGAAGCTTTTAGCTGTGCTTCTTCACATAATATCTTAAATTTTATGAGTCAAAGTTGTCCTCTTGTTTATATTTTGCACCTCATATGATTTTTATTTATTTATTTATTTTCTAATTTTATCTTGGAGAAAATGTAGAAAATGTCAAACACCTTCCAGTTGTTACTAGCAAATTTTCTACCTTAGAGGCTTAGAGCATTTCAGGTCCCTGCTGGGTAAGTAAGATATGGTCCAAATAATTAATGAAGTGGTAATTTTGTTTCCCAAATCACTGCAGTGTTGGGGGACTGCGGAGTCTTACTGATGCTCTCTTTTATAGACATTGCCTAAAGAGCTGCTTTCTTCAAGTGCCAGACTAGTTTCTCCATACTTGGTATATGCTGTACTGCAAGATTTTCAGTATCCTGAGATAGTTGATTGAAACTGGCTGTAAGACCTCTAGCGGATCTATACAATTCTCTGTAGGAGGTCTATGTCGGATATTAATAAGATGGAATAAAAAATGTAGGCTGCTCAGAGTGTCAAGCTCTCCTGTTGTGTAGTAATACTATGATTTCTTGACGGCCAATCAGGAGTTGTCTTAGATTTGAAGTGCAAACTCTTCCCATAAAGTAGAGAAAATGCAGACAAATTGGAAGATGGCAACTTTGCACTGTGCAACAACTATTGAAAAACTGTGTGGTTTGTATTTGATGTTTTCTATTTCTGTATAGAACAGTGAATCTGATATAATCTTAGCCAGTGTGTCTCAGTGTTCTTTTGATGTTCTTACACTTGTTGATGTAAGAAAGGCACTTATTAAACTCTAAAAAAACTTATTTATTTTCATTTAAAGGTATTCTCTGTTTTATAACCACTTGAAGAACATTGAGGAAAATGAAGGAGGCCTTGATAAATTTTCAAAAAGTTACAAAACCTTTGGAGTTAACCAATTGTTGGATGGTGGAATATATTGCAGAGAGTGGGCACCGGGAGCAGAAGCAGTGTTTCTCACAGGTGACTTCAGTAAGTATTTTTAGGAATATTACTTCCTTCCTGTATTGATAACCTCCTCACTTAAAGGCAATTATGTAGCAATGACAACATTCTGATAGTAAAAATGCATGTCATGGCTTGCTGGTATAGTGTCATTTTGTAACACGAACTAATAATCTTTTACTCCATGTTGCAGTAGCCTAAGAACATCGGTGTTTTTATTGTATGGTCAGTATTAGGTGTGTATCTATGTAATTTTTAAAATATCCATAAGGTAATGATTTGTCTAAAGGATCTAGCCTGATTACATTCAGCCTACAGCTGCAGTGTATTTAAACTACTTGAATTCTTCCAAAATAGCTGCAGTTAGACTTCTATAAAACTGTATGCAGAGGAGAGAATTTCCTTTATCTTTGATCTAATAGCAGTGTTGTCCAAGGATCAAGGCCTTTTAAAATTTCCTTTAAAAATCATGTAAAAAAAAAAAGTGCTGCTGGAAAATGGTAATCTAAAATCAAAGTACTCTACTTTTAAAAGAGTGGGTGGTGTTCTGTTTCAAGGGGAGGAGAAGGATATTAGCACAACCAGAAAGTGGCCTAATTACATGGAGGAGTTGCATTGCTTACTGTGAGAACTGGGAAGTTGTCACTTAAAAATATGAATTTGCTGCTCATTTGGAAGGCTAGCTACACTGAAATGTTCTGAAAACTCTTAAATGGAAGTTGGATGCTTTTTTACTCTTTAATCCTATCAAAATAATTCTACTCTTTTTATTATGGGTTTTGGGGATTTCTGCTCTAGTTTTCTCTTTCACCCCTTTATCCCTTCTTCCAGGTTAGGTATTAGTCCTTCAGGATACTAGATCTGTGAAATGATTTTATTCATTTAACTGCATTTCAGAAGTATGCTGTGTTATTCATTCAACTTTGTTCTCTGAATTGCCAGTTTGAGGAAGTTAACTGCCTCTGCTTAAACTCAGTTAAATGTTGAGTTTTCATTCTTTACCTCTGTTTGAGGAAACTATTGAAGGGGCAAACTGTATTTGAGGAAAGAAGTCCTGAACTTGAAATTGTATGTGTTTCTATAACTTAAAAATTACAAGACTCATCGCATATACTGTTAGCTGTAGAATCTGGTGGTGCTTTCTAAAGCACTGTTGTGTAGGTTCTGTAAAAGTATGTGCAGCAATTAAGAAATAAATGGACTACCCTGCCAATGTTCTTCAGCTCCATTATTAAGATTTTATTCAATGCTTCATAGCAATGTTTTAGTATTGTTTTCCTGTAGTCTCAAGATCAATACATTTGTAACTGTTCTACATAGTGGTCAATTCGGTCTTCCTTCTACTTTGCCTGATACCCAATAGCTCAGAAGCAAGTTCATGAAAATCTGCTTAACAATGAAGACTGACATAAAACCAGATGTTACTACTTCTCAGATAAGATAACTCCCTGGATACTAATAGCAGCTTATGCTTTAGTCTACTGCCTTCAGTTGTCTACAGCCACAGAAGCATAGCCCTATTTGACTTCACTCATGAAATCTAGGTATTTTACTACAGAAACTTTTGAAGAAAGTAGCAAGAAGTTCAATATCATAGTAGTACCTAGACTTCAATTAAGTAAAAGCTGAGTCAGCTCTGGGGAAAAAAAATAAAAATCATCCTAAGACAGAAGTTTCCAACCTGTTTTCAGGTATATGCAAATTATGAAGGCTGTGACTGAAGTTCCCCTTTCTTCACTATGAAGGAAGCCTGTAAGAGTGTAAATAACAAAACTTCCCCCAAAAACCAACCAGCCCACTCTCCCTCCACCCTCCAACCCCAGGAGAAGCCTTCCCCTCTAGTGCAAGATAAAAGCAGACGCCAGAACAATCGCATTCCAGTGTGATCAACATTTTAGATCAAATGTTAGCTGGGAAGGAGGGAGGGGAAAGAAGAGAAAGGAACCAAAGAACAGAAATCACTAATATGACAATATATTATATAAAAAACTGATTTCCATATTAGGATATACAGTCTTAGCCTTTCAGTTTTCCTAACTTTTTAAATTAAAATGTTTACAGACAACACACTTGAGTCTGCGTGGCCAAATACAATTCTGAGTATTCTAATTCCCAAACAAATTCTGTGCATTACTCTGAAAACTTGCAGCTCAGTGGCATTTTTTTTTAAGTAGTTGATTGTAAGGTAGCAATAAATTGCCAGTAGTCACCAAGTTCCTCACCAATATAGCATGCAAATATTTCGGTGTTATCACCGGGAGATTTTAAGGTGGCTATAATGTTGATAACTGCCTCTAGTATCACAAATTCAGATGACTGAATGCCTCATACACATGATTTACTGAGATGCTAAATATACTATTTGAGAAATCTTAGTCTTTGGATGTTAATTTAATAGTTTACAGACAGACTAATGCATCACACTAGAATGCCAAGAGATCACGATATTTTCCTCTCCAATTAAATTTTCAGAGAGACAAAAAGAACACAAAAGAACTTGGATTTTCTTGAATTTTTTTCTTTCTCTAATCCAAATACAGAATTACAGATTTGTGTGCTGTTACTAGATTCTAACTTTTTCCAGAATGCACAATGATACTAAGAATTATTCTATAAATAGCAGCTAAGCCATTCATTGGAGGTGTCTCAGAATGAAGTATACAAATACTGTAATTTGGGCCAAAACACCTTAGTATCAAAGTTTTTATTGTCTGATATAAGGCATAAGGGTCATTTACAAAAAACTTTGCAGGACTGATGCTTCACATGTATATAATTACAGAAATACTACGGAAGTATTTATCTTAAGCACAGTTCATATTATCTTAGTTACAAGTTCTGAAAGAAGTTTAGATTCTCTGTAACACAGTATGCACTTGCAGACAATACCATATTAAGTAAAACACTATGGGAAAACACTGCTATCCATCTCCAACAACAGAACTAAAAAATCATGATTTGACTCATTTTATGTTATGTCCTTATATTTCAGTTTAAAGCCTAAAGAGCTGCAGTAATTTATGTTCCATGTTTGGTCTTCCAACTTCCCCAAGTGGTTCAATTACAGTTCTCTTGATAAAAAGCTGAGTTTTTATAAAAACATTCTGATTTAAAAATTCTGTCCAATTTAAATACAGTATAATCATAAATTTAGTTTGAGACTTCAACCTGCTTGAAAACTTAAAAAAAAGGTTAAAAGGATTCAGGTTCAAACATATCTGTAGCAAACAATCTAAATATTAAAGTTTTGCAACCCAATTTCCTATCAGAATATTATTAAATCTCATCTGAATTGAATGACAATCTTTCATTCCTCTCAGCTTTCCAAGTACATTATCTTCTCCATTGGGAATGAATACTTTATTATGGCTGATGAATATGATACAAAGTACAAATGCAGTTTTTCCATATTAAAGTGAATTTCTTTTCAGTTTTTTGACTTTCTGCCACATCTCATTAGGATCTAGATACAACTACTCTAATATATTAGTCCTAAATTTCTGCTTAGTATGATTATTACATAAAATGCTTCAAATGAAGCAGAGTTTAGAAAACCATTCCTCTTTTTAGCTACAGTACTCTGGTATATGTGTACTCCCCCTCCGTCCTGTCCAGCCAATTTGCAATTTCTATCTTCTTTAAAGTAATGAGTTATTAATTTCATTAGGAGTCTGTTTTTAAAATGGTCATTTATTAAAATACATACTTCAACTGTGTTGAGTAACTTAAAGACTGTTAGATATATCACATTAAAACTTTGAGAAGTGGATGGGGCGAGAGGAACATTTTCTATTTATACATATAAAGATGAGCTATTAAAATATCCATATCTAGATGTCTTGAAGTCAGCATCACTGCTACCTAGCAATAGGTGTGAACTATACTTGTGATTTACTATTCTGTTTTGAATCAGAGGACATATCTGATTCCATATTAAAATTCAAGTACTGCACTAATATTTTATCGATATCTATTCCACTAAAAAACACGAATATTTCAAGGAAAGCTACATTATCTTTCACTAATTAAGCTATATCAAAGTAGTGTTGCCCTAGCTTTTCTGATTCTCTTCTGCATTAAAACCAGTATTTTGTTTTAAAAATAATCATTGTCTGTAGACTCAAATTATCACAGTGGATAGTTTACAGAATCATAGAAGCATTTGGGTTGGAAAAGACCTCTAAGATCATCAAGTCTTCCATTCCATGTCTTCAGTGCTCAGTGAATCCAGAGAGGACAAATACTCTTAAATTATGGAATCTAGGCTTGGTTCAGCATGTGTTTTTTAATGAAAAAGGAATATTCTTGAAGACTTACTTAAATAAAACTGTGGCATTTCAGACCAGATTTCCTGGCTCTGGTGTCATTGTCTGGTATTCTGTGGTTTATTAGCCCTTGCTAACAAGTTTGTCTGCAGTTTCCCTTTTATTTTTGCTATTTTATACACTTGGTGAGTGTTATTAACAGGACATCAGCTTCTCAAAATAGAGACACTGAGCAGCATCTGTGTCTAAACCTGGTTTAAGCATTCAATTTATGGAAGCTGGCTTTGGTTATGTTTAGTCCACTTCCTTTATAAGCTATCAACAGCTGCTTAGTGTTTTCCCCATAGTGTTGTAGCAAATACTTCTACTGGCTTGTTTAGAATGTGAGATTTTTTGTTTTAAATCTGCATTAAGCATTACTTCTCAGCCATTAACTTTCATACCACCATGATTTTGTGATATTAAAATTGGTATTTCTGGGGGGGAGATGGAGGTTGTTTTGGTGTTTATCAAGAAAAGGTAAATTAAAAATAAATATAATCATTGTCAAATTAGAACTGGAGTATGATTTCCTAGTGAAAATCTTATGCATGTTTTTAAACCTGTTTTGAACATGTATGATAGTATCACACAAAAGTATTTGTCTGCTGTCACTGAATATTATTCTGTAAAAGGTGGAACATTTGTAGTTAGTAATTTTGAATTGTAATTGGTCATATTTTAAGATAAATATGCTTGGTATTGTTTGTTATATTGCAGATGACTGGAATCCATTTTCTCATCCATATAAGAAGTTGGAGTATGGGAAGTGGGAGTTGTTCATTCCACCAGGACAAGATGGTTGTCCTCCTGTGCCCCATGGATCAAAGCTAAAGGTGTTGGTTCTAGACTTCCTCTGTCTGCTTCTTGTAACTCTTACTCAATTGTCTTTGTTATTTTTAAAATAAATTTATCTTCTTTTAGTTGTTCTAAGAAGGAAAATTGGTTTATCTGCTTGCACAGAGTGGCCTCAGTGAGTGAAACGTTAGCATCTAACTCCTTGTGATACTTAGGAACAGGTATATGTTGCTGACATGTGGATATGGGGTATTGTGTCACATTACAAGATGAAAATGATGTTTACATAAATAACTTGAAAAATAAGAAGTAATGTATAGATGGTCTTTCTGTATTTGATGCAACAGCTTGAGTTAAGATCCTCTTCATGTCTCATTACTTTGGTAGTTTGTGATCCTTTTAACCAAGGTTTTTCAGGTGATCTTTTTGTGTTGCTTAAATGGTACGTGGTCTTGTAAAACTACTGTTTGTCATTCAGGAATTCAGGGCATTGAACAATAGGCTTAGGATAAATTAAACTAAATACAGACACAGAAAACTTTTTTCTATTTTATCAGTTTTATTTCATGAGTATTCATGAGTAAAAAATCCTTTCTTCCAGAAATTAATGGGAAGTTTCTTTTGAGCTGTCTAATGCCACAGTTGTTACACTTAATGCAGATACACCTAATGACAGCTAACTATCAGTAGAATTGATTATTTCTAGGTGAATATTGCTTTCAGTCAGAGTTGGACTTCTAAGAATTTGAGTTGTTGCTGTTCAGAGTTTGAGTTCCAGAAATATTGGATGCTAACAGGGGACAGTAATGAGTGGTTAAGAAATGTACTGAAATCCTCAATAGACTAGGGAAATTAGAAAACTAGAAGCTACTACTATATTTTCAGGACTTCCATCAACAAAATTAACACATTGAAAAAATCCTCATTTTTCTGCTGAAAATCAGCTTAGGTAAACTATAAGAAAGACACTGAGTTGTGGGAGCATGTCCAGAGAAGAGCAACCAAGCTGGAGAAAGGTCTAGAGAACAAGACCTGTGAGAAGAGGCTGAGGGAACTGGGGTTGTTTAATTTGGAGGAGGCTGAGGGGAGACCTCATTGTTCTCTACAACTACCTAAGAGGAGGTTGTAGTGAGGCAGGTGTTGGCCTCTTCTCCTAAGCAAATAATGGTAGGATTACAGGAAATGCACCAGAGGAGGTCTAGACTAGATATTAGGAGGGATTTATTTAGCTGAAAGAGTAGTTAGGCACTCCAACAGACTGCTCAGGAAGCTAGTGTAGTCACTGTCCCCTGAGGTATTCAAGAACTATGTAGGTGTTGCACTTCAGGACATGCTCTAGTGGGCTTGGTGGTTTTTTTTTTTGTGGTGTTGTGTGTGGTGTGTGTGCATGTAGGTTTTGGTTTTGTTTGTTTCGGTGGGTTGAGTTGTGCCCCCAGGGATGGTCAGTTGGCCTAGGTGATCTTAGAGGTTTTTTCTAAGCACGACGAATCTTTTATGTAAGCAAGTAATCTGCTGAAACAGAGAGGCGTGAAGATGCTCTGGAAATGCTTACTCAGTACATGTACTTATCTCTGAGCTTTTTGTTATGGTGTATGAAATTCTCCCAGTAATAAATATGGATAAATTTAAATTTTAGAATAATCATTTAAGGATGAGAAAGCTGTTTTTGTTTTACAGAATAGGAAATAAACCAGTTGTCTGTAACTCAAATATGATGATTATGCAGTCATGTGACTGCAGAATTGCTAATTAATAATTGCCATGATTTTGAGATGTAAGTAGGCTAGATTTTTTTGAATTGTTGTTAAGTTTATCTTTTATATCTACAAAACTACTGAGCTCACCTACTGTAGAATATTTTCTTCTCAGTCTAGGGATAAGAGGTGTGAATGATGAGGAGTGTTGATAATTATTAACATAATAGCAAACAGCCTACATTCTTAAACATGTTTGGAAAACCTTAAGATTTTTAAAAATCTGTTTACCTGTATAATCACTGTCACTTCTTCTGTTTTTGAAGTATAGGTCTTTATAGCACTTCATCTCTTTCCATTCACCATTTTCTTGGAAATATAAATTCTATAAAGCAAAGATTGTGCTGTGCATAATTTGTTTAGTATGCAGAATTTTTTTACTACTGATTACTCTTGGTACTGGTGTACTAGTAAGATTATTTGCTGTAGTTCTGTAGTTGCTCTGAATCTTTTGAAAAGCTATGACACTTGTTGGCAAAGCAGAGTGTGAGTTTGCTTTCTTCTTTTTGATTTGTTTTTAGCATAGCACTTAATAGTGCTTTTACATGGTCAGTTCTAAACAAATATGTAAACATTTGTTGCTGAAACTCAAAATATGGTTGCCATATAGGCATGTGAACCTGGACTGTTCTCTCTGCCAATGAGACACAATCACTTTTGAGTGTATAAATTCTTGCCTATGGCTGATGTTTATCCTTTCATACTAATTCAGAAAACTGCTGGTGTTCTGTAAATTTTCTTGAAACTATGTGGTTCTGTTAGATTGATTGTTCATAAATGTGTGTATTTTTGGGAATGTGAGGATTTGTATGGTAGAGCATAGATTTGCAGTTCTTTGTTCATGTAGAAGCTGAGAATACTGGCTAGTCTGTAGATGGAAATGACTATGCAGATTGCAGAGCTAATTTTTAAATAGACACTGTGTGCACTAGATTAGACAGCAACATCTATTTCTTTTTAATAATGAAGTTATTCCCTCTTTAGTAAAGAAGCTTAAGGGTATTACAGGTTCTAAAGATTTTTTTTTTTAACCAATATTATTCTTAAGTATTTAAGTTAAAATAGTTAATTTTAGACATTTATGGAGTGATTTGAATAATCTGCTAGGGGAGGAAGTCTCCTCCAGAAGGTCCTTATCTCTTGTTTCTGTCTGCTGTTTTCATCTTTAGTTCTATACAGGCGAGTGCCAAGTTCTGAAGTGGTGACAAGGTCGTTCCCTTTATATAAGTAATTTCTAAACCATAATAGGAAATGGACGGAGTGTAGCTTGTGAAACTATTTTAGATCAGTTCACACAATATTTTTGTAGGAAAATAAATGTGAGGAGCAGAGGTCAAACATTTGCCTGCTTTCAATAGTAGTAGTATCTACTGTAGAACTTCAGGCAGTCTTCTCATAAATATAAACATTGAAGAAGGTAAATGATTAAAAAACCTACTAGAGTTTTTTTCTGATACATTTCTGTGTGAAGGAATGGATACTTAGAACAACTGAGTGAATCCCTTGTGGGTTATGACATCCATCTAAAAAATAAAGATACCTGCTTGCAAAAGGCACTTTTTTCTTTCTCCCATGGATCAGTAAGGAGCTTAGTGTGTTAAGTGAACAAATATAGTTAATGTTGTGTCTCTGTGTGTGTTTTTTGTTGTTTTGGTTTTTTTTGCTTGGTTATTTTGTTTGAGGAAGAACCTTCTAACAAGTGTCTAAGCGAAGCACAGGTTAAAAAACAAAAAACGAAACCAAACTTTGTGCGTTAACAAATTAAGCCTCTTTACCTCTGTTTCTTTATTCTAATGGGATTGTAGTTTGAAAGATGGAGCGGAACAACCAGTTTCTTTAAACGTTAGCATGTTGGTTATTCTAAAAGCAGTGACAGCTTGTCGGCAAGGGTGCTTCATGGTTAAAAATTACCAAATTCCTCCTTCATTGCCAGAATATTCTTAATAACCTTTTCACAGTATAAAGCAGGCTTTTAGAAAAATTAACATGGGTAGGCTTCCTTAGGAGGTAGGGTCACATATTCTCATATACATGCATGAGTTTAGTCACTGTTCTACTTTTTTCTTTTATTGTTTGTTTGTAAGTTTTACAACTGCTTAAAAATACCTATAAATTAAGTTTTTACTGTAGTCTGTAAGATTCTAATTTTGAAATAATGTCAGTGGAGTTTAGCAGTGAGGTCTGTGTTGGTAAAAATTGAGATTTTAGTATCTGCAGTGGAGAACATGTTTAATATTCTTTATAGGAATGCCAAGGAACAACACAGAAGATAGAGAACAATTGAAAAATAGAGGCCAGATCCATGGCTAATGATCAAGTTCTAAAGTATTTTTTACAAAGCTAAATAAGAAGAGATGGTAAGATCAGTGCTTCCAGAATACTAGCAGTTGAAGTACGTTATCTGACCATGCGGGATATGCATGAAATTAAACCACTATGCACCTAAGTATCACTTGCATGTTTATGAAAACTAGTTTAACATAAGTGATTCTGGCTTATTTCTCTCAAGTTATGAAGGTAAGAATCAGGATGGTTGACATTCCACTGTAATGCAACTTTTACCAAGGTCAAGGTAAAGGTTAGAAAGTTGTCTGTAAATATCAGTGATCAAATTTGCTTGTTACTACATTTTTTTAAACAATAAGAGTTAACTACACACAGGTAGCATTTATGTAATTGAGGGAGGATAGATAAAAGTAAAAAACTTAAATAAACAAAACAGAAAAATAACCCTGTTTTATAGTTAATTTTCATTGGGTTTTAACAGGTCATTTCTTAGCACCATAGCAGCTTTCACAATTTCTCTGTATGCTGACAGAACTAATTCTATACAGCTCAGGGAACAAGTAATGCTCAAACCGGGAAATAGAAACTTAAAAAAACCCCTCTGTATTCCATTATTTAGTAAATCTCTAGCCTTTATTCCTTCACACACATGTATTTAGATACATGTAGATATGTGTGTATATATATTTAAATGGAAAACTTCATAGTTTTTTGAGGGAGGGTCTTGTTTTGTAATGAAGTGATGTCCCATCCAACTCAGTCCGGTTAGGGTGAGGTTTGGACTGGTTCCACCTGTCAGGTGCGGGTAAAGTTAACCTTTTCTCTCCCTGGGTCAAGGTTAACTTTTTCTTAATCACTTAAGCCAGTTGGTGAGATTAATCTCTATAATTCTCTGTGCAGTACACTAAGGGTAGCAACCACTGCCCAGTAGGTTTATACAAAACATTACTTAAAATTGAGTACGATCATAAAGCTTATCAAAAAAACTATAGAACAAT